ATTTCCACAGCAAGCATATTTACAAATGGGACAATGAAACTGAATGGCACATAATATGTTCAACTTCTAATTTAAAGAACAAACCAAGTTAATAAGTGTTATGCCTGTTTTCAGGGAAAGAAAGTCCCAGGTTATTCTCGGAGTTCACTCAATAACCAAGAATGAGCCAGAGAAACAGATAATGTTCGTTAAAAAACAATTTCCCTATCCATGCTTTGATAAGGACACACATGAGAGTGATCTTAAACTTCTACAGGTATGTAGTTTTGATTGTACCTTTCATTGATTTAAAAGTCACAGAAACTCCTACAATCTGGTCACCTAGTGTGGAAACATTTCCTTGATGCCCCTGTAGCTACAGACTATAGTGCTTCATAAGGGGGTTCCTGAGGGTTCAGCTAGAATTTAAGTAAAAATATGAATGTTTTAACTGTCTCATTCTGTTAACTCTTTACATTTGCCTTCCAATAGCTGAACAAAAAAGCAGCAATTAATAAAAATGTGGCTATCCTTCGTCTCCCTGAAAATGGAGATGATGTGAAACCAGGAACCCAGTGTCGAGTTGCAGGCTGGGGGAAGTTTCACAATAAGTCACCTGTGTCTGATGTTCTAAGAGAAGTCAATATCACTGTCATAGACAGAAAAATCTGCAATGACCAAAAGCACTATAACTATAATCCTATGATTGGAGTGAATATGATTTGTGCCGGAAGCTTCAAAGGTGGAAGAGACTCATGCAATGTAAGTAAAATAAGTTCCACATTCAGCTGCTGGATTGAGTCACGCAGATACAGAAAATGTAATGTCATGCTTTGCCTTGTCATGTTGGCTTCTAAGGGTCTTAAAGGTGCTTTTTCTAAAGAAGCCTGATAAAAATCCCAGTCAAATAAATTAATGTTCTCAGCTCAAGTAAGTTGTGTATCAGAAATAACAAGCTCACTGCTAGTGTAAGGGTTCACCTATTTCATTTTCTTGACTTTATATCAAAAACTGCTAAGAAGCAATTTTTGTTCTTATTTTTCATGTTAACAATATATAGATCTAAATCTGAAAATATGTAAACCCCAGGAAAGCTGAAGTAAGGATTCCTCTAGGGCCTACAGAGCCATTCTCCCCACCTCGGCACCTCCCCCTCAAAATTCCGGTGCCTTTACAAATGGAACAATGAAACTGAATGACATATAATATGCTCAACTCCTGATTTAATGTCTGTCTTTCCCAAGCCTACTGAGGATCTCAGGCTAGACCCCAGGACTTTCTAGCGCCCAGCTCAATCCCCAGAAACAACTTCCGAGCTAGAGAACGTGCAAGCCTCCATACCAGGGCTCCCTGAGAAGCCATGAAATGGGGCTTTGCTTAAAGATAGAAAAAATACCTTATAAATTTTTAAACTCTGAGGAGTAGCTTGTCCTTTCTCACTATTCCTGAAGAGGATGAGTGTGCAGTGTATGTGGTTTGGGAGGCATCAGAGACCGGGAGAGGTCTCTGCCCTTCCCAGGAGCTTGTCTGACAACAGAATCTGAACGTCTTGCCTTCAGAGCCAAAGCAAAGCAAATCTCAGGAGAAGATGACATTTGTCTTCAGCACCTCCCCACCTTCTCTCCTTTGCCCTACCTCCTCCCTCCACTCCCCTCATCCACTGTTCTGGGCATCCAGAATCTTCATGCTTTTGAACCCACATGCAACACCCTAAGGCATCCCAAGATGCCTGTCCCCTCCCACCAGTCACCCTCTGCCACCAAAGTTTAGCAATCCCCCAATCTGCTCAATGCTCAAGAGTCTTTGCAATTGGCTGTTGATGAATGAAAACCTAAAGGACCAATTCTGAAAAATTTAGGCACTGTATTAGGCAATGGAAATATATCTGTCCTGGAAGGACCCCAGGTTCTCACAGGGTTCCTTATTTCATACACCCATAAGGCCAGTTCTTGCCTGGAAAGGGAGGTTCATGGGTGCCTTCTCATTGCTGGGATAGAGTTGGGGCCTCAGAGCCTTGCATTTGCAGAACCCTGTGTACATGTCTTAGTGGCCCTCCATCTAGATCAGTCTTCCCTGAAGTCATAGCAGCGCAACAGCCAATCCAGACTCTAGACCTTAAATACATTTAAATACACTGGTTCTAAAGTTCCGTGAGAGAATACAAGGTCACACAATGGGCGGCACAGTCAAGAAGAATAAAGCAGCAGCTTACAGCTAACTGAAGCCTGTCTGCTGGAGGAGTGAGGTAGCTCTGAAGTGTAATCTCTGGTTTCTGGGGGTGTCCATCTAGCATCAGATGCTCTGAAGAGCAATTTCTGTATATTTGAGAGAGTGAAGGGAAAAGCTGCTTTAGTTTTATTCCTTTGGGAAGACAGCTATCTGCTGGAGGAACTAGAGAACATGGTTTTTACTCTTTGCCCCTGTGTTTCATCTGCATTTGCCTGTTTTACCCCTTCAGTTATTAAGCATTTTGAGGAAATGACAAACAGGAATGTTGTCCTACTAAAGCAGAGAATCAGTTTCAAAATTAGTGGGCAACAAAATAATACAAATTTCATTTCAATTTTCACTGGTTTATAAATAAATCAAGTGAACCAATGTTAAAATATTAAAATATTTGCAAACATTTTGGGTTTTTAAGCACTAATTTTCAGTTAAGTCAAGGTTGGATCTAACTCCACAGTGAATATTCCACATTAAAGGAATTTCTTCTAATCCTCCGTCATGTTTGATGCTGATCTCCACCACCCTTCTTGTTTCCCCCCAGGGAGATTCTGGAAGCCCTTTGATATGTGAGGGTACTTTCAGAGGCATCACTGCCTTTGGCCTTTCAGGCAAATGCGGACACCCTCAAGGACCTGGTATCTACACTCTTCTCTCAAAGAAGCACCTCAACTGGATAAAAACAACTTTGAAGAAGGGAGTTTAGATAGATGTATTTCATTTTGCTTGCTGTCACTTCTTAATCCTATCATAAATAAAATCAACATGTAAAACTGTACCTGTTTTTCTCCTTGAACTTACATGAGCAGATCGCCACCAACAAAGTGAAGCAGAGTAATACAGCAACCTTGTGGATAATGCAAGGGAGAGATTAGGGAACATGTCAGCATTGTCATCCATGTGTCAGGTGACATGCAAATTTTGCTTGAATTAATCACTTTGCTATCTCATTGGGACCCTGCAAGAGTGATACTAACATTGGGTCCATCTAGTAACAAGTTCAGCGAAGGACTCAGTAATTCTCCAGGAAACAGAAACAGCCAGGCTGGAGCATTTGGGCTAAAAGGAAATGAGTTTGCCCTTCAAAGGCCATTGTTCCTCGACACCTGCTATTCATATTTATATCCAAGAATCTGAGTCTATGAAAGAAATAGAAACAGGAAATGCCTTTCAGTATTTTCCAAAGGCAGATAAAAAATAGAAATTGAAATTCTAGGGGTCATAAATGAAGCACTTGGCAGCAAATAAAAGTACACGACAGAAAGTTCTTTATCAGTTGTTTGCATTTTAAGCCTTGGGTTATCTAGGTGATTTCTTGGTTCTCCTTGTCCCTGAGACTTGGTAGTTCCAATCAACCTGGAAATTAGAGTGGCTGCCATCTCATACTAGGGAGTATTGAATAATGGCCTGAAAGTTTCCTTTAGAAAAAGCCGCATGATGTTTATTCAACATATCGAACTTAGTGGATAGTCAGCAGCCTAGCAGCTGTTTCAAGATGAACAGATTCCTTTGATTTCCAACAGTTCATTTACGAATATAAATTTTACACATCCACAATGTACATCCAAACCAAGAACATACATCAACATTAAGAGACAAGCTCCTATAAGAAATGAAGGAGCACAACTTAAAGACTGACCAAAAAATTTAGTGCACAAGTTTTCAACCATGACTGTCCATTAGACTCACCAGGCTTTTTAAAATTATCAATAATCAGGTCCACCTTTAGAAATTTGATTTAATTGGTATTCAGTGGAACCCAGGACATAGCATTCTATATAGAAGCTCCTCAGTGATTCTAACATGCAGCTAGGGACGAGAACTCCCATACTAGAAAGCGAGGTCTGATGCCAATATCTGAAAGTACGGACCTAAGAGGGTCACGAGTCTGACACTGTGGTACCCTCTATAATCCCTAATTCCTATTTAAGATTCTAATAGCAATAAGAGCATTTAGGATTCTAACAGCAATAAGAGGATGGAATTTTCCAGGCATTTATTACAGACTTTTAATTCCACTTAAAAAAGCAGTTGTATGGAACCCTGTTCATTGCTGGTGGAAGTATAAATTGGTACTTACTGGAAAAATTGGCAGTGTCTATAAAATTCAACATACATATATCCTGTGACCTAGCAATTCCTGTCCACAGTATACACCCAACAGAAATGAGTGCTTTTGTCCACCAAATATGTGTTCAAGAATGTGCACAGCAACTTTATTCTTAAAAGGCAAAATTGAAAATAACTCAACCATCCATAATTAAATGGATAAACAATGGTTGTACATTTATTCAATGAAATATTACATAGCATTTAAAAAGAACAAACCATAATTACATGCAACAAGATGAATTAATTTTACAAACTTAATGTTCAGTGAAAAGAAACTAGACAAAAAAGAATATATACAGTATGATTCCATTTATCCACAGGTTGGCATAAAGAAAATCTAATCCATACTTATAGAGGTCAGAATAATGGAAGAGTGTTAAGTGGCAGGGGGCAAGGAAGTGTAAGAATGGGAATGAGTTAGCATAAGAGTAGCCATCTTAAGAGGCGAGAAGCCATTTTCTGAGTATGTGGCTTAGAAAGAAGAACTGGAACTGGGTAAGGCTTGAAAAACAAGTTAATCATGAACACCGGGTTGTGGGCAGCTGTGACCCTTGGTCAGCTAACCTTGGTCAGCTAATCATACATACCAAGCTTATCATGCGGAACCGCCCTAACAATTGAGGAGTGGTCTTATCTTATTCTTGCTTAACCCCAGGATGTATGACTTGCAAAAAATAATGCGTAGCTGTGGAAAATTACTATGAGTTAAGTGCTTTGAAAATGCTATATAAACCCTTGGCTTTGAGTGCTCGGGGTCCTTGCTGAAACCTGCTGTGTCGGGCGGACACTTGGACCCCAGCTAGCTGGAATAATAAACCTCTTGCTTGTTGCATCGATCTGCCATGGCCCTCGTCTCCTCACTGGGGGGAAGCACAGACCAGAATAAGGCCCTTAGGTCTTACAGAAGTCTTTTAGAAGATAAGAAATGTTCATATCTTGAACTGGATGGTGGTTACACAGTTATCTATTCATAAATAAAAAATTTATCAAACCATACACTTAAGACTTATGTGCTTTACTATATGTGAATTATTACTCAATAAAAATTTTAAATTACAAAATTAAAATATGAGTTGTAACAAAGGCTTCTGTTTTGTGTATTATCTGTAAGTTCAATTTTTTCTTTACTAAAAGCATATCCCAGACTTTCCACTAAAACAAAAAGCATGTAAAAGATACACAGGTACCCCTACTTCCAAAAGTTCATGTTACATCATTTCATTTTTATTAAAGACAGATATTAGTGCCTGTTTTCACTAACCAAAAGAAATCCAAGAGGATTCTGGCTTTTAGAAAAAAAAGGAGAAAAGCAAAACTAGTGTTCAGGATTTGTTTTGCAGGGAGCCATTTAAAGGGGCAGCACAAACCCCAGGCAGCCAGAACGGCCCCACCGAGCTGCTTGCCTGGGAAGTCAAGCTGCTGGAGCTTTGGACTGTGTCTGTGGGCATCCATGCTTTGTCTCCATTTATTCTGTGCCTCCGTTAGCAAGATGTGTCCTAAGGTATCAGAAAAGCTCAACAGGTTATTTTGAGCATCTGGGAAGACTCAAGAATGTTTCCAGGTAAATTAATGGTAATTGCTTCTTCAATTCATGCCATTTCGGTTTCCGAGCTTTCACAGGAATGCTCTGCTTTCATTAGCCGGGAAACCTCTGTCATTATTTTTCCTTAAGTGAGAGCCTCTTGTTCACACACTGGTATTAAATGGGCAAAGTGGTCTTTGATCATGTTGCAGTATCATGAAACAGTTAAGATAGAAGTACCCAGGTCAGAATACTAGAGGACCCTAGAAATGGTCGAATCATTTGACTCATTTCCCTGCTAAACAATTAAGAGGAAGATCAAATTAAAACCATTAGCTTAAAGAACAGTGTGTATTACAGTGAAGTATCACATTTGCAGCTTTTGATGACCTAAAATTTTCTAAAACAAAAATTACTAGCACTACCAAGTAGCTTTTCTGAGTTAAAAAACAGGGAAAAGAAGAGAATATATTGGCAAGTTAACACTAATTTGGCAGGAGAGTCCTAACTCCCCCTGTATATATTATTACACTTTTCAATTATCAAGGCTTTGTTTTGTTATATGGGATTTTTGGGGGGAAGGGGGAAAGGAAGGGAGTGTATATGTACTGGTAAAAAAACATTTTATGACAAAGCAAACAAATTAATCAATACTTGTTATCTGACATATGCAAAACATTATAAAGAGCACTAAAAAGTATAATGCATGCTCTCCCAGCTCTCAGTTGAATAGTCCAGGGAAGAAATAAGCATGTTAAAACTGAAGTAACCAAAGATTCACATAGTGATAAAAGATTTTTTAAAAACAGCTAGAATAGTGTATTACTAACAAATAGGTGATGCCAAGAGTTCAAACCCAGGTTAACATCATTTTCAAAACACTTTCTGGAGAGGTCAGAACTTAAGAGACAAGGAAAAAGAAGGGACAGAGGAGTGGGAATTCAAAAGCTCCTACAAGGCATGGAGGCAAGAAGTCACAAGGCTTAGTCCAGGGCTAAGATGGGACCTGAGTGTGGACTAACAGAGGAGGGTAGAACATTAGGAAGATAAAGCTTGAAGAAAGCTTGGCGGTTATCCAATCCAATTCCTATTCTTGCAAATGCTGTGACACGCCCAAGCTCACTCAGCCAGTTTATGGCAGAGCCAAGGTAGGAACAGGTTGCCTGACTTCACATTCTGGACTCAGGACCATGAGGTTGAGGCCGAGGGGGCAGGTGATAGGGAGTCATTGAGAGTTTGTTAGGAGACACAGAGGATCAGCACAGTGCGTTCAGAAATTTAACCTCACAGTGAGATGGAGACCATGAAGAGTATAGATGGGAAACCGGTTAGTAGACAATGACAACTGATCAGTCACCAGGTATTCAGGACATGACCAGAGTGAAACAAAAAGAAAAGAGAAAAAGGGGCAAGCTGAGTAAGCACTAAGCAGATAATCGGTGACCAGTGAGGGGGTGACCAGTAGAAGGATGAGTCCGTGAAGACAGAAAGACAGTCCTACAGAGGAGCTCATTTTGAGAGAATAATATGTATACTTATAAGACACACTGCCTAGGATATAGCAGGATTTTGACCAACATATTTCAAGTGAATAATTTGCATTCTTAATGTGTTGAGTTTGAGCTAAAGACTGGAAAGAATCTGAAAAAGGAAATATCCAGAGGCAGACAAAGTACGAGGCTGGAGCTTAGAAGAAAAGTCATGTGGGAAAGAAATGTTTAGAAATCTTTGCTGTAGATACTATTCTGACTATAGCAATGGAAATACTAACAAGGAAGAGCTACCGAAGAAGGAGAAACAGGAATGGGAGGAGGAGGTGGGAGGAAATCAGGGAGAGAAGAACAGAGTCAAAGACAACATCTGGGAAATGGAAAGGGAGGAAGCAGAGCACATATAACCCGAGAAAGAAGGTCAGCACAGGCAGTCACCTTAGGAACAGCACATCACCTTGTTGGATCCTCATAACCACACCAAAGAAGATGAGGCCAGTATCATTATTGTCACTTAGAGGAGACCAGAGCTTAGAGGGGCTGAAGGCCTAGAAGCAGTTCCATACACAGGCTGTGCCGCCAGCTGCCGCAGAAAACACCCGGGTCTGGTCTGGACTCAAGGCCAGGTGCAGCACCCTGCCCCTGTGGCCTGTGGGAAGAAGGAGAGACAGTTCATGTTCCACATTACAAGGGCTGTTGCAACCAAGGTGGGGCCACAAATGCCATCCGGGGTAAAGGGCTTCTCTAAAACCTGCCACATCGGAGCTGGCATTCCTGCAGCACCTTTGCTGAGGAAAATGCCAGTCAGGGTTGATCGGCAACATCCTAACATGATTGGCTTTCTGCTTCACGGTTTCCCCTTCAGGGATCTTGTATGGGTTAGTTTCCTAAGGCTGCCATAACAAATCAGCACAACCTGCATGTCTTCAGGCAACAGAAATTTATTCTCTGACAGTTCTAGAAACAAATACAAAAAGGGGTCGGCAAGACTGGCTGCCACTGGAGGCTCCAGAGGAGATTCCACTTCTTGCCTCTTAGAGCTACTGGCAGCTGTCAGCACTCCTTGATTCATGGCCACATCGCCCCAGCCTCTGCCTCCCTGGGTCACGTTGCCTCCTCTCTTGTTCTCTGTTCTCTCTGTGTAGCTGTGTGTCTCTTTTAAGGACACTTGTCATTGAATTTAGGGCCCATCTAGATAATCCAAGATGATCTCATCTCAAGAGCCTAATGTAATTGCATCTGCAAAGACCTTTCCTCCAAAACAGGTCACATTCACAGATGCCAGGGATTTGACCCGGACACCTCTGAGGGGACCCTTTCTGAGCCCACCGCACCCCTCAGGCCCCATCCCATTATTAGTTCTATCTTTCCTACCCACCAACACCCAGGAGTTGCTGTGTTCCTTCCATCTACTCTGTCCCTTGGGACCTTGGATTCAAGAAACTAATCAAATAAATTGATGTAGCTTAATGGAAATGGACCCCAAAAGCTCTCTAACATAGCACACATAAGTCTCTGTTGTGGAATTCTGGAGACAATACCCCACTATTACCTAACTGATCATTTCTCAAAGAACATTTTGTGGAACAATAGTTCTTTCTGAGGTTAATAGGTATTAAAAATGAAAAGAGTGCTTAATGTTCACATTAATTTAGAAGCTTCAGGGTGAGAAAACCAAACAGGATTCCTTATTTCATTACTACTATATACATTATAAACATTTGGGAGAAGTGGCTATAATAGGCAGCATTTCTGAAACTTATTTGACCAGAGTCCTTCTGACTTGAGCATCTCAAGCAACTAGTGTTCCTTGAAAAATGTTTGGCAAAACCTATCTTAATCCAACAGTGACTTTAACGATCAAAACTTCAGGCCAAATAGACAAGACTGACTCCAAAAAAGGAGGCTGAGGCTGGGAGGATGGGGAGAAGGAAGGGAGTTGGATAAATTTTTGAGTGGGTAGGTGTTTGTGGGCACAACTAAAATCAAACTAGGTGGGTGGTCATCTCCTCATAGGGCCAGTATTGCTTACAATTCAACTGAGATCTGGAATTTCAGAATTCATCTTAGGCTCTGACAACACAAGATTCTCTGCAGCAAGCAGTGTGTATCTTAGACACTTAGGCTTTTTCCACCTACAAACGTCACTCCAATGCCCTTCCTTCATGTGCTAGAGCACACACACCTGCACACATACATGCCCCAAGGAGATAATGGGCCTGTGCGTGTCAGTATATTAGAAAGTTTAGATTCATAGATATAATGCAGCCCCCTTATTTTACAGGTGAAGAAAAACTTTAGGGATATCAAATACCTTGTCTAAGGTCACATAGCTAATTAGTGGACAGAGCCAGAAACTAGAATCAAATTCAATGCTCTGACAGTTCAAACCCAGGGCAAGACAGAATCTCTTTTTCTATTGAAGGCCACTGTCCATCTTTTTTTTTTCATTAAAAATTTAAAAACTAAAACAACTTAGGATAAATACAAAATATTACACTAATGTTTTTAAACTAAACCTAAGAAAAGTCTAGTGAATATAGTAGGTGATAAATATGCTTTCATTTTTTTCACTCTGATATGTGAAAATGAAGAGAAAGGAAGAAAAGAAAGTGGAGAAAGAAGTAACATAAAAAAATCCAAATACTTTCCAAAGTAAGCTTTGAAAAATATCTCAACTTTAAAAATGGAAAGCCACTTCCAGAACTTGCTAGCACAATGGCATTTGGATTAGAAGCAAAGATGTTCTTGAAATACTTCCCTCCCATCAGTGACAGTATTAACTTACTAGATAGTGGGAAATGCCATCTTTTTCTTAGACAAAGGTCCTCTTTTAAGATTTACATCCCCAAATCCCAAGAATATTGTCACTGAAAGCATTGAAAGTATTGTTTTCTTTATTCAGCTATAATTATAAATGAGACATATTATGCACGCATTGTGGACTGACAAAACTAAGTCAAAGGCCAAATCTTACCGATAGGCTAGAAAGTTACCTGCTCCTGTTTCAAAGCTTAGAAATTACAATTAGGGTGGCCAGGATAGGGGGATGAGGAGATTTGGGTGGAGGGTGGGGGTCAAAGAGAAGTTTTCTTTCTTCTGTAGTCAGGTTGTGAGAGCTCTTTAACTGAAATTTCTCCCCAGAGAATTATGACTGTGGTTAACAAGGTGAGGCTTAGTAAAGATATGACCATAATCTAGAATACCCTTTTCCAAACTTTATGACCACAACCCACAGTCAAAACTGCATTTTCTGTAGCAACCCATATATAGACACGTATATGCACTGCATGATAATAACAAAAGCTTCAAAAATAACATGCACCTTTACATTTTTTCCATCCTATACTATTCTATTTAATTTTTTACTGTCAATCCTGACTCATTACATCCATGGTCCAATGGGGCACAACCCCCCATTTGAAACTCAACAGTCCAATGCCATATAGTAGGGCTCCCTGAAATGTATTCATGGAAAAGTACCTCAAAATGCACCATACAAAAGACCTCCCAAATGTTGGGGAAACACTAAATGCTATTTAACCTCCTCTTAGAGATTCATAATGCACATAATGTAGCAAAGGCTTTGAGACATCTTTCAGAGAGAAACTATTCTTGTTTAAACCCAGAATTTCCAAACGTATCTGACCACATGCCATGTGTCTGTATAACAACATCCTGCTAAACATATGCTGCATATGGGAAAAACTACTGGGTTAGAGATGAAAATTAGTGTGTAAGAGCTCAAAAGTAACTGCATCTTCTCCAACCATAAACATTTGAAGAGAAGGAAGGAAGGTTAAACAGACTCTTTGAAATTCTGTCTAATAGCAATGAAAAAAGTGACAAGGCATTAAAACTAAAGATCTCATAGCTTGTTAAGGCCAAAGAAACAAGAAAATGTACCAGATAAGTTTATTCTTTATTCGAAGCATCAACAAATTGATTGTAGTATCTGTCAGATGCCTCCACCTTAGGTGAAGGGCCTATCTAGCTGCTCAATTTATAAGTTTAGGAAGAACTGAGCTTAAAGCTTGATTTAAGATATTTCTCTAACTGGAAAAGGTCCTGGGACTTGCATGTCTTGTGATTTAAAGTATGCAAAGGATCAACTCATGCTCCTCTGGCATGCCTGGCCACCAAAGAGGCTCTGTCAAGAGCTGCCTGTAACCAAATCACACAGTATAACAGCTGAAGGATATAAAGGTCAGCCTCGGGCTAAACAGGGGTCCAGTCAGGCTGACCAGAAGAAACAGGATATGTAATCTGAGGTCTAAAGAGATTGGATGCCAGGGCTCTGGTCCTTTAGCAACCATCACTTGTGTCCTATTTCCCAGGGCTAGGTAGAAGGAAATACCTACTAACCTCTGAGACCCCTTTAACATTCAAGATCGCACCAAAGAGGGTGTAAGACCCTTGAGGACATGGCCTGTGTCTAACCCCCAATCCCAGGGTCTTTCTGTAGAGCTACTCTGTGGAAGAGGAGCTGTCCACCTTGAAGGGCAGTTGTCTGCCTCACCAGAGCCTCCGGGTCTTTGATAGTCTCCCACCTAGAACAATGTCTCACCCTTTTAGAGGTCCTGATCTCCCACACATTCCAGCATTGCTGGTTCTTCTTCAAATTAAGGAGAATCATGAATCTAACCCCAGAGTTCAAAAACACAGTTCCAAAACTGTCTATGATGGTCACTGTGCCATCCCATGCATGTACGCAAGGAGGAGAAGACATAATAACTATAATTGATAGAGAATCTTGGTCAAATTCAGACATACTCATCTATATCCTCCCTGAGGTGTGGTGTGTGTGGGCCTGTTTCCTCTGTTGAAATAGATACTTCAAAGAACAGAATGAGAAAAATCATTCATTTAGGGCTTCTCCTGCCAATGACAGCTCACTGAGCTATAGATACATGGCATTTTACTCACATATTTACTTACCAAAAAATTCACCTGACCTGGCCAGGGCTGGACAGGCCCACACGGTCATGTCATTCTTAGGAATACCTTGGCCAGTTGCAATCTCCTTTGTCTTAGGTAGCCAGATTAGGGAACAAATCTGTAGTAATGACCAAAAAAATACAGAATTAGGGCAATTTCTCTTTCACTGTGAATATATTCCAGACTTATTCTAGAGAGTGTGCTCTGTCCATATCCATCCTCCAGGCCACAGCTGGGGTTAGAGTGTTAGAGGAATCGTGTTAGTTATAGAAAAGCTTATTCCAGGGCAACAACAGACTAAATAGACAAATGGGCTTAGATGCAATGAACCTGCAAAGTGGACTATGATCACAGTCCAGGAATGTCAGACTGCTCTCAAGTTACACAGTCAAAGCAATGCCGAGAAAGGGAAAAAAAGATGCACAGATTTATTAACTTTTGACTCACAGGTGAAGATTTTGCAAAACCAAACTCTCAAGAACAAATCCCTGTGGACTCAGCAGGTACAGAGAGATGGGTTTGAGTCCTGTGCTCTAGCAGAAATTATTTTCACAAGATTCTAGGTCAGAGTGAAGGTGACCAGAGAAGACACTGACCTGTGAGCCTGTGTTTGGGGTCTGGAGGCTCTGCCCAGTATTGATGTCCAAGATATGTAAGTGACCATCCTTCCCTCCTCCTCCAACAGCAAGGACTGAAGACTGCCAGGGACACCAATCCATGGCCTTTAAAGTTCCAAAAGATTACACAGAAGGTGAGCTTGTGAATGCTATACATACAGGTAAGCAGAAGTTCCAGAGGTTTGCACCCATCACAGCTCACCTGGACCTTTAATCCCAACACAGGAGCAACTGTCCCTCCAGAGATTACTTCTTGGAGATCAGAAACCACCTATTAGGCCTTCCTCAAAATTTGATAACAAATGCAAATATCTTAAACATAGAAAAATGGCATGATAATATGTTTGAAGAACTACATCAACACATTCTATGGGGCAAAAATCTGCTGCTAGAGAAGCTGATGTGTGCACCTAGAATCTGGTTATGACTTGCCTTTCTCTGGTCTGTCTACCTGTGTCTTTAGGTTCTAGGTCCAAGAAGAGAATAGAAGACAAAAGAAAGCTATATATGATTGCTCACCATTCAAAATATTTCATGTATTTCAACTTCTAAGATATTTTGGAAAATTAAAATTGCTTTCTCTTAGTGTTGAACACTTATGTTTTTTACCTGTCTAATCTAAAAGATAATAAAATAATTGTTGTTTTAAGCCACTAAGTTTTGGGGCAATTTGTTACATAGCAATAGATAGCCAGAATAGAAACTTTAGACAGTGAAATATGGTTATAGTTCATACAAGAAAGACAATGAAAAATTCTAATCAGCTAACCTACATTCAAAGTAAAGATCTTGGCCCTACATTGTGAATAAATGTACAATCAAAAGTTTTCAGTCAAAATAAAATATTTATCTGTATATCCTTAGCAGTCATCCTGCTAACTATTCTCATTTTTGCATATTATCTTCTACATGTAAAAATATTTGAGAAAGTATCAAACATAACATATATACTCTTTTGTTTTTCTGTTGTTTTCACTTAGATCAACAGTTTTCAGTGTTTTACTTTTTTCATAATTACAGTTTTTAATAATCCCACAATATTCCATCATGTTATTGAACCCCAATTAATATTTGCTCTAATGCTGGACTCAGGTTGTTTTCTTATTTTGGTTTGGTTTGCATTGGGTTGACTTGAGTGTTTTGGGAAGGAGTAGATTTTTTTGTTTGTTTTCTTTTGTGTTTTGTTTTTATTGTTTGCTTTTGTAAAAAACACTGCAACAAATATATTATGGCATACATTTTTTGTTTCTAACAAATTATTCCTCAGGTTAATTCCCAGCTTCAGAAGTGTTAATACAGTTTTCCAAATCGTTATGACTTTTTACAACACCAGCATCAAATGAACACACTAATTCCATCCTGAGTTGAAGGTTACTTAGAATTAAAATTAAGTCTCCCATGCCATATGGCCTTCTAGATCTTTCTCCACTTCCTCCATCAGTAGGTAGAATTTCATTCCCCTCCCTCGGAATCTTTGAGGGCTTGTGACTTGCTTGCAACCAATATATGCAGCAAAAGTGATACCACATAACTTAAGAAATTAAGTTATAAAAACTTCTATTTTGCTCTCTGAAGCACTGGCCCCATTCCCCTGTGCCACAAAGTCCAGTTATCTTAAGCTGCCATGTTGTGAGGAAGCCCAGACTAGCCCAACAATGTAGAGAAGCTCTGACTCCGTGAAGAGGGTAGAATGGCTGGCCGGCCAACAGCTGCTCTGACCCCCAACTTTTGGCTTCTGTCACTGTCTGAACACAACTTCATGAGAGACCCTGAGCCAGAATTTCTCAGATAAGCCCTCCCCAAACTCTAACTCATGAAAACCATAAAAGATAATACAATAATTGTTGTTGTCTTAAGCCATCAAGTTTTGGGGCAATTTGTTACATAACAATAGATAATCAGAATAGAAACCTTAGACAGTGAAGTATGGTTATAGTTCATACAAGAAAGACAATGAAGAACTCTAATCAGCTAACCTACATTTAAAGTAAAGGCCTTGGCCCTCCATTGTGAATAAATGTACAATTGAAAGTTTTCAGTCAGAATAAAATACTTTCAATATTTGGTATCATATCTTCTGGTTACCTGCCTTAATTGTCTTTTTCAAATAACAATTATGTACATACCCCTGACTAGGCTCAATAAGAGATCAATTTCAGTAAACACAAACCTCTCCATTCAATTTCAAAAAGCTCAGAAATTCCCCTGAGCCCATGGCCCCCCAGTTTTACCATATGACAGAAACCAGTATTTTTTTATATACCCTCCTTCCAATTAGCTTATACTATCAACAGATGCTTTGGCAAAGCTAGAACTCCCTCATGAGAGGAATCACAGAGGCAACCTGCTCCTGCTGTACCACTTGGCTCATTGGTGGCAAGGATGAAGAGACTTACACTAGTTACTGCTCCTGGGATTCCCCAGGTATTAGCTGCTGTGAGGCTTGGCTTGCTTAGGTTTCCAGAAACTCTCTTAGTTCAGTTCACTGTATTTCTGACAATAAGACATCTAAGAAGGTAAATTGTTTTTGCTTGGCTTGGATTTTTCGACTGTTAGCTTTTTGTTTTGCTTTATTTTGTTCTTGTATTTTGTTTGCAAGCAGAACATTTTACATACATTTTTCCTAAAATTTGTTCAGTTATTAATCATGGGAATTTGGGCCTAAAATCATTCTCAATATACTGTTGACATTAAAAACTCACAAGCCAGAGCTGTTGGGCCAGTACCATGCAGTAGCAGCAGGCACTATATATTCCACCCTGTATTAGAAAACTAGTTTTCATTCTCCTATATATTAACTAATATAGTTAATAAAATAGAATGATGAATAATAAATATTCTGAGACTATGTTGAGGCCAAGACATACATCCATGACACCAAAGGAAGGGAAATGTGGATTTTTTTTACTAGAAATACTAATTTAAAATACAGAGAAATAAGAAATCACTATGCAGAGCCCAGTGGAGTACTCATTTCACTCAACAGCACCCTTCCCCCATCTTAGGCAACAGGCCTCCTTTCCTGGGTGTGAGCTCAGGACCCAGGCTTGGCTAATCAGTGTGCCCATCTCTCAGCTGTCAACTGGGAGATGAGAATATGATTAAAGCCAGACCAGAGTCCTGCCTGGGACTTCTCTACCAGATTTATAAGGGACAATGGTTTCTTTACCCAGTTCCCATTTGGGATACTGGCCTTGAAGCTTGCCGAGAGCCATCTTGCCCACAAAATAGAGTCTGAGTGAAGAATGAAACTAAGCAGACACAAGAGAGCAAAAAGCCAAAAAGGCAGGACTCCAGTGACATTATGTAAGGGTCTAGATCCAGACAATATTTGAAACAGCTGTCTGTAACCAGAACCCCAGTTATGAGAAAACATACTTACTTGTTTGCTTAAGTTCAAGTTGACTTTGGTTTTAGTCACTTACCACCAAAAAAGAATCTGACCTATGGGGATAAATAGGGTTGTCTTTCAGGAGGGTGATGGCAAAATCTGAAACAAATTCTGGAGGAAGAAAATCTCAGATTATTGGTTTCACGACTTTGTTTTCATGTGAGAAGGATGCCCGGTGATCTCTGACTAAAGGGAAACCCAGAAAGCTCCTGGATGTCTTACCTTCACTGCTGTAGGCTGGGGTATGACTTTTAGTGGTTGACCCTGGGCATCTGCCCCTGGATCATGGGGCCATATAGTCAGCAATCCATCACTACAGCCACTGGAAAGCAGCCTGCCATCAAGGGACCACTTCAGAGCACACACAGCTTGTTTGTGGCAAAGTGTTCCAACGTGATGCTGAGCTGCCCGAACATCATGATGATGGACACGGCCCAGTCTCGAGCCGCTGAGCAGAAGTAAAGGTGCATGTTTATGGCAGAACTACTGCTACATAAGCACTTGAAAATATGAAGGAAAATGCAGTTCAAACTTCTGAACGTTCCCTTAGGACAGATTCAAAACACAAGTAGACATTCCTTGCATTAATCAGGAGGGAGAATTTTGCCTGGGTGATAGTTCTCACAAGTGAAATAGATTTGCCTGGCAGAGTTTAAAAGCTGGACACTATGAAGATATCTTTTGATAGATATTTCCAGTGGCTTTAATATGATATACACAGCTATGGAAAAGATAAATTTAGAAGATAACCAGATTTTCCCAAGTAGTGGTGGATGTGCTGCACTTCGGAAGTACTACTTTTCTGGGACTCAGAATATTTCATATTACTCAGTGAAATGGTTTTAGTATCTATCTGCATACGTACATGTATACCTTCAGACCTACTGAATCAGAAACTCCTGGAGTGAGGCCAGCAATCTGTGTTTTAAGAAGCCCCCCAGGTGATTCTGAGGCATGCTCAAGTTTGAACTGGTTAAATAATCTGGGAGGTCCCTCCCAGTTCTAACCTCTCTGGGTCTGTGAAGTGGAAATGTACCCCAGAAAGTTTACCAAATTTCAAATTATTGATACTTACAGAAATAAACAATTGGGTTCAACAAAATATCCCTCTAGTAGGTATTACTTAGTACAAAGAAACTTTTTGTTTAGCTTAAGTTTCACATTTCATCTGAACAATTTCATGAACCCCGAGCTTCACATTCTAGTACTAACACATGCTGTAGGTACACAGGCACTGTGGTACGGGTGGCCACTGGACCAATTTACATCACCAGAAGATCTGAATACCTGAGAGGGTAGGATCGACTAATGGCCTGTTTTGTTTCGGTTTTATTTTGGCTTGATTTAAATATTATAGTTTTGTTCACTCAGTCCCCATAATGAATTGGTGATATAAAAATAGCTGATCCCAACAAAAAGTTTCTTACCTGCTGAGGATACAGTGATTCCAGCTCAGAGCCCCAACTACTGACAAATGACCAACCATATTTCTTATCTGCTTTTTAGTTACGATATCCCATAACTGAAAGAATAAACAAGCAGAGTTATATAGCATTGACCTTTAGCCAATTGATGCTGAAGCCAGTCCTTGTACTCATTAAAAGCTCAGCATCCTTCACTCTAGTCTGTATATTAGGATCACCTAGGGAGCATGCTATGGATGCTATCAACTCTGATTTAATGATGTTGGTGGAGCCTGGAGATATGGCATTTATTTTAAAGTCCCCCAGATAAATTTAATGGGCAGCCAAGGATTGTGAATCACCATCACACTTCTAGTTCCTTCTAAATTATGGGAATTCCAAACCTGGAAATCCACCTACAGTTACCAACAACAAAAAAATCTGGTACCTGGACACTTTTAGAGTCAGGAATTCCATTTACTGCTACGAGACTCCTTTCCTGCCAGTTATAAATAACATGCTGACCCATTCGAGGAATGAGAACTTTGGCATAAGAAGAAATCATGAGATAACCTTCATAGCACCCAATATTATTGCAGAGGTGAAAAGGCAATGAGAGCCATTTATGGCCCTCCAAAGTCATCAGACACATGAGCAATATTGTTTATACTATTGCTAATAATAATAATAATACATGAGAAATTAGATTGATTGATGGAAACTTGACAAATCCCCATTTCAGAGAGCCTATCAGAAAAAAATTCACTCATTTTTAGTAGCTCTACTCCTGATCATGGCTTGAGGTGAGAAAGGAGAATTGGAAGGTTATCTTCTTCTCTCCAAAGTCCTAAAACTGGAGATGCTACAAACCCAACTTTATTGAGAGAAAAGAAAAACTAAAAACTATCCTTAAGTCCTCATTAAATGCTATTCAGAAAAGAACCAGAATGGTATATCCTCTCCCCGTACCTTCAGGTACCATAACTAGTTTAGTTTCTTTGTTTTATATTAACCTATTATTAAAAGTCTATTTTAGTTATCTAGCAATTACACAGAGCATATTGTGAAAATGAAAAAAACTGTTCCATACTTGCACTTCTCCCTCACTGGTGCCGACTGCCAGGCAGCTTCCCTCTTTTATCCAGGACACAGAAGATATGTAGTTACAAGTGAGACTTAAGTCTATATTTTCAATCTCATTGTGGTTTTCCCCATTCCAGATGTATACAGAAGATCCAAGGGCTATAGCAACAAGATTCTGAAAATTCCAATCTAGGATATTCAGGTCTATAAGAAAAGCATTTGAATTAGGGTGATGGCCTTCAAATAAAAGTATTTTCCAATAAACAGATTTATTTATAGGTAGATGAGGAAGATTAATACCTTCTTTATGGTCATTTGGAAAACAGAATAATGGATCCAAGCAGGTCATTAGAAGTTCAAAAATAAAAACTAGAAAAAAAATCTTGTGCCAAGATTCACATCTAATAAGCAATAATTCTTATTATTTATGCCAAAATATATTTATTAGATAAAGCATTCAGAGAACTTGGAAGTTTCATCTACCATTATGAGCACACATGGATTTCATCTAACAGGTCATTAAAAATTAAACACATAATTCTTATGGAAACATCAATGGACCTTGGATGCCCATATGGGAGAAGCCACCATCACTTCTAATCAAAACTACCACCCAACTGCAATATATCTAGAAAAAGTGGTCACTGGCTTATTTATGATACCTAGAAGTTCTTAGCAGTATTCTCTCTAGCTTATACAATAAGAATTGACTGACAAGAGAAACTATATTTGTATGCCTACATATTAAAATGTATCCTATTTCTTTTTATTTTAATTGGGGTATAGTTGACATATAACCCTATCTTATTTCTTATAAGACAAAAATTCTCATTCTGATTGACACATACCAGTAAATAACTATGAAGCACACCAGTTCCACTACAGTGGTCTAAGCCTCCTTAACTCATCTCTCCTACTGATGACAACTATAAACTCTAAAGAAAATACACAAATCAAACACCTGAGTACTCTGTAAAGTAAGCAAAAACATGCAAACTAAGTAAAGGAGTTAAACTTGAAGAAACAACCTTCCCAAGCATGAGCTTCCCCCTTTTTTCTCATATGGTTTGGCCTTGAGGGTGGGCCCCATTCATGGAGTAACACTAACAGCTCAAACTTTGATAGAAAGCCCACCATCTTTCTGGTCAGACGAACCAGGGGAAGGAGCTGGGGTGGCCAAAGAGTGAAGAGAAAGTCGTGAAGTGGAGAGAACCACAAAAAGTCATCCTCTAATTTTTGGTATGAACCCACGCACATCTCAGCCTAACCCTTCAATCAGGTAAGTGGAGAGAAAACCAAATCAGCTCAGCAAAGATTTTGAGAACTGAACTGAGATTTGAAGCATCCATACAAGTCTCAGCTTAGACACCAATCCACACATATGGTTAGGATATACCCAAACCAGCACAGTCAAGGCTTAAAAAACTGATCTGAGACTTGAATACTTCCCATAGAAGGCAAGACAATAGTTACGATATGAACCTGAGACAAAAATGTCAACATTCTCTTCAGGTCCCAGAGTCAGTACAATATAACATCTACAATGTCTAGTGTACAACTCAAAATTACTGGACATATGTAAAAGGAGAGCATAATCAATAGATAAAACCCTAAGATGACTTAGGCATGGAAGTTATCAAACAAACTCTTGGAGCAGCTATTAAATTCTCCATAAAGTAAAAAAAAAAAAAAAACACTTGAAATGAATAAAAAGATAGAAAATCTCAAAGAAATAGAAAAACAGAAATTGTTTTCAATATAAAGGTAATGAAAACCTATGAAAAAAATAAAATGGAAATTTTAAAACTGAAAAATACTATATCTGAAAAATCCCCTGGATAGGCTCAAGAGTAGAATGGAAATGATAGAGTAAAGAATCAGTGATTTTGAATATAGATCAACAGAAAGTATCAAATCTGAATAACACAGAGGAAAAACACTGAAAAAAGAAATTGATGATATTTGTGGAATAATATACAGAGAGCTAATGTATGTGTGATTGTAGTCAGGCCTTGAAAGTAAGACAGCAAGGTTCCAAATGACCATAGACTTCCCACCAGAAACTATAGAGGTCAGAAATCAGTGAAACACCTTTAAAGTGTATCTCTGAAAAGAAAAAAATCTGGAAGGTTACGTGAGTATATGCATGTGTCAAATTCATCAAGCTGTACACTAAGATTTGTGCATTTTATTGTTTTCACCTCAATATAAGAATTTTTTAAATAAAATTCTAAAAGAGAAAAAATCTAGCAAACCCAGAATTCTATATCCAGCAATATCATGAAATGGAAGATGGTAAGTGCAAGAGAAGTTCTTGCCAAACAGAGCTGCTCTACAAGAAATGCTAACAGAAGCTTTTCATGCTGAAGGGAACTTACATGAGAGAAAAATTTGGATCTTCAGGAATAAAAGAGAATATTGGAATTGGTAAATATGCAGGCAAATATAAAGGACCATTTTTTCCCTCTTAAAACATTTAAATGCAAATATGGATGTTTTTTCAAGTAAAATTATAACAATGGTGGAATCTTCCAGGTACATAGATATGAAACATATGATAAGTAGAGAAACAAAAAAAATTGGGGTGTTGGGGAGACCTTTGTCATTGCAAGATTTTTACATATTGTGTAAAGTATGCCACGGCAATTCTAAGTAAACTTAGAAAGCTTAGATTACATTGTAATCCCTACAGCAACAATTAAAAAACAAAACACAAAGAGATATAGCCAGAAAGCCAAAAGATCAATTAAAATAGAAATCAAAAAGAAAAGATGTCCAAGAAATAACATTGGAGGCAGGGAGATGGAAGAGGAGGACAAACCAGCAGAAAAGACACAGAAAATGTGAACAGAAGAGTGGAACCAGCAGAAAAGACAAAGAAAGAGTGAACAGAAGGAGGCAAACCAAGAGAATGGGATATCAGGGAGGAGGGAGTGATCAACTGCCTCAAATGCGGTTGATAGAGTTAAGTAAATGAGCTCTAAAGAAGTGGCTGTTGGATTTAACAATGAAGAGTTCTTTAGTGACATTTGGAAGAACAGTTTCAATGGAATGGTGAGATTTAAGAACTAGAGTGAGTTCAAAGGCAACATGGGGCCAGATATAGGAAATTGTGAATAGACATCTTTGGGCAAGTTTTGCTATCAGAGGAGGAGAGAAAAGGGTCTACAAGGCTTGAAGAGGGAGTGAAAAGAAAAGTTTTCTGGTTTTGTCTGTTTTCCTAAATGTCTGTGTTCTTTAAATATCTCTTACGGTGCATCTTTCAATTGTCATTGGTCATAACCATAAATTCCCTTAGAGAAGGAGCTGTAGGAGGAGAGGTAGGAGAACTGTTCCCTTTAGTTCTGTTGCTTCTTCCTGCTTGTTCTTCTATGTGAATATTGCACAGAACCCAGACCTATTCCCTTGACTCCTTTCTCCTTACAGGCTCTGTATTCTCTCCTTCACCCTTCCAAGTCCTACCCATCTTTCAAGAAACAGCTCAAGTCTGAATATCTCAATCAGTCTTTCTGGACAGCTCCAAAGATCATTGAACTACTTTATAGTTTTTATAGCTCCTTATACCCCACAGTTCATGTCTATTTTACATTGGCATGTTGGTAGCAGTTCCTTGTGGGTTAGTCCTATCTTCCCAACTCGATTACATGCTAGGCACATAAGAATATCCAATGTGGTTGTTTGACAAATTAGATTTATCTGTGTTTAAAAGATATTTATAAAAATAGGCCACCATTTGTACGGTTCATTCTAATACAGTAAAAAAAAAAAATGTACATTTCTCATGCCCCACCAACACCAACAATATCTGTTCCTGAACATGAAAACATTCATCTTCCTATGTTTCACTCTCTAGTGCCTCCTCATCTTACTGGGGTATACAACTCAAGTAAAAACTATCAAGATAACTTCAGTACACATAGCCAAGCTTTTGTATGATTGTTCTCCACTCCACCTCCTCTTCGGATGCCTATATATTTCTTATAAAACTAATTTTAGAAAGAAAAACTAACTGTATTAACTATATTCAGACCTACACCATTTAGACATGAGTCACAAGGCCCATTTAGTTCCTCCAGAATTAAATTTCAAGCTTATGACAGAGCACAGGATACATTTTGTCACGTCAATTTCTCAATTCATGACCTAACCAAAAACTTACAGTAGTCATCTCGAAGACCTGTAAGATGAATCCTCACCTCTGGTTGCAGTATGGAATAGTTTATATCACTGAATCTTTTAAGATAGAAGGATTCGCCTCTGACTCCATCTCTGCACCCTACAAGAAACAAACAAATCTATACATCTCTATGATACTAGAAACATAATATTTACCTTTGCAGGTACTAAGAGATAATGAGGCAAAAAAAAAAAGTGGCTATCTGAATTGATAAAGCTGAATTACAAGTTTCAAGTGGTGAAAAGGGAAAAAGAAGGCTTCACAGTATTAACTTAGATTTTTTTTTAATATTCAATGTCATTTTTCTAATAAAGTCACATGAATGCCAGACTTAAATATAATGACAGATCTTGTGTGTAGCACACAGAAACACTATATCATGCTTTGAGTATTTATTCGGTCACTTCAGATTTTAAAACTAAAGTAATTTTTGCACATATCCATATGTATATCACATAACAATTACCTGATAGACTTTGTCAATAAGTCTTTGTCAATAAGTATCTGTTGATTTATTGATTTTTGGCTTTTTCTCTCACTGTTTCTGTACCAGAGCACACAGAGTTATTTTTAGCTAGTTTTACCCATGGTTCTCTCAGGTCAAGGTTACATCTTCTGCTCAGTTTGAATTCTCACCAAAAGACCCCACTAAGTCTAAGCCACAGGCCATTGTCTTTTCATCCTCCAACCACTTGGCTTGTGATCAAACTGCAAATGATATAATCAACAGGAATTTAGCCCACCCAGGTGGTTTGTGGGCTCTGTAACCACACGGTTTCTGATAAAAGCATGAGAGCTTTACAGTGCTATACCAAGAAGCCAGATTGCTCTTCATAGCCTCAGTGTTAGCTATGAAAACCTACAGTTAGATGCAGAACTGTAAGGTTACTAGAAATACTCAAGTACTGACAATCAAAGTTTTAAAAAATCAAGAACAAACTTCCAATTATAAAATAAATAAATTATAGGGATGTAATTAATATACAGCATGGCAATTATAGTTAATAAGATTGTACTGCATATTTGAAAGTTGCTAATAGAGTAGATCTTAGAAGCTCTCATCAGAAGGAAAACAATTCTGGAACTATGTGTGATGATGATGTTAGCTAAGCTTATTGTAGTCATCATTTTGCAATATATATATAAACATCAAATAATCCCTTTGTACATCTGAAACTAATATAATCTCATGTGTAAAAAAAAGATCAATATCCAAACAATCAACAAAAACTCCTGAACCAATGAACAATTATAGTAAGTTTGCAGGATATTAGATTAATATACCCGTCAATTGTTTTCTCACATACTAGCAATGAACAACTGAAATTTAAAATCGAAAGTACAATACCAGTTATGTTAGTACCTCAAGAAAGAAATCCTTAGGTATAAATCTAACAAAACATGAACAAGATATATATAAGGAAAACTTCAAAACTCTAATCAAAGAAAACCCAAATAAATGGAGACATATTCCATATACATGGATAAGAAAAATCAGTATTATTAAGATATCAGTTCTTCTTAACTTGGTTTATAGATTCAATGCAATCCCAGTTAAAATCCCAGCAAGTTATTCTGTGGACATTGACAAACTGATTCTAAATTTTAAATGGATACTAATATGATACTGATGTCAGCTAAAAAAATCTTAATAAAACAAAATTTATATGATGAGGCAAAAGTCCCAGCATGCTCAACACAACACCAAAGGAGAAGAACCAAGCTGAAGGACCAAACCATCCAACTTTAACACCTACAGAACAGCCACAATAATCAAGACTGTTGCAGTGACAAAAGAATAGACAAATAGATCAGTGGAACAGAATAGAAAGCCCAGAATTAGATCCACAAATATAGTCAACTGATCTTTGACAAAGGAGGAAAGGCAATACAATGGAGAAAAGTTAGTCTTTTCAGCAAATGGGCTGAAACAACTGGTCATCCACATGCAAAAAAATAATAATAATAATCTAGATACAGACCTTATACCCTTCTCAAAAATTAACTCAAAATAGATCATGGACCCAAAGGAAAACACAACTATGAAACTTCTAGAAAATAACATAGGAGAAAAATCTGATGACCTTGGGTTTGGTGATTACATTTTAGATGTAACTCCAAAAGCATGATCCATGAAAGAAATCATATAAAAATCTCTTATCATTAATGTTCTAACATTTTAGATAAGCTGGACATCATTAAAATCAAAAACTTCTGCAAAAGATAAGGTCAAGAGAATGAGAAGACGAGTCACAGAGTGGGAAAAAAAATATTTGCAGAAGACATATGTGATAAAGCACTGTTACCCAAAATATACAAAGAAAATCTTAAAACTGAACAATAAGAAAACAAACAATTCAATTAGAAAAAGGGCAAAAGATCTGGACACCAATCTTTTGTACACCAATGAAGATTACACAGAAGGCAAATAAGCATATGAAAAGATGCTTAGCATCGTGTCATTAGAGAACTTCAAGTAAAAACAGCAATGAGACACCACTACACTTCTATTAGTATGGCCAGAATCTAAAACATTGTCAAATCCAGACTTACAAGTCCAGATAATCCATTAATTGATCCAATATCTTGATCAACAGAACAAGTTACCCTAGGGATAACAGCGCAATTCTATTCAAGGGTCCATATCGACAATAGGGTTTACGGCCTCGATGTTGGATCAGGACATCCCAATGGTGCAACCACTATTAATGGTTCGTTTGTTCAACGATTAAAGTCCTACGTGATCTGAGTTCAGACCGGAGTAATCCAGGTCGGTTTCTATCTATTCATGCACTTCTCCCAGTACGAAAGGAGAAGAGAAGTAGGGCCTACCTCACTTCTGGGACGATGTGGAACAACAGAAATTCTCATTCATTGCTGGTGTGAATGGAAAATGGTACAGCCACTTTGGAAGACTGCTTAGCAGTTTCATATAAAACTAAATATGACACAATCCAGCAATTGCTAAATTCTGGAAGGAGGAGGGAGAGGAGGTAAGCATATAAAAAATTTAAAAATTAAAACCAGAACACCCTAAATAAAAAATTTAATAGCAAGGCTGGTGGACAGACTGAGGTAATCACCTAAAAGATAGAAAAAAATCAACGAGATAAAAACTAAAATAGAAAAAAAATTTTATATCAGAGACTCAATCCAGAGGAACTGCACAATCATTTCAGAAAGAAAGAAAAAAGACACAAAGGTTAAGAAATTACTAAGGAAAAATTCAAGAAAGTTTTCAAGAACTAAAGGACATAGGTCTCCAAGATTGAAAAGATCCACAAATAGACTTTTCATTTACAATGAGTTTAAAAAAAGGAAAAAGGAAAACCCAAACCAAGCTTCATCATCATAAAATTTAGAACATCAATGATAAGAGATTTTTCTAAGAGCATCCAGAGAGAAAAATCAGATGGCATACAAGGTATAGGAAGTCACAATAGCATGATTTCTCAACAGCGACAGTGAATGAAAACAATAAAGTGATATCATCAAAATTCTGAGGGAATCTAGAACTTATAGCCAGCCAAAGTATGAATCAAGTATAAGAGTAGAATGAGGATAGTTTCAGACCAGCACACCCAGAAAGACCACAGCAGAGCTGCCAGGGAACAGTGTATGTAACTTGGGAGAGGAGAAGTCTCAGGATCACAGCTGTGCAACTGGACAGGAGAGCAGGCTACGGGCGGAAGGTCACCAAGGAAGCAGGAACTGGCAGCTGTGGAACAAAACACGTGAGCATTTGGGGGAACCAGTCATAGTTTCACAGGTACTGAGTAAATGAAAAAATTAAGCAACTTTTTAATTCCAGGAAAAACAAAGAATTAGACTAGAAAAAGGCATAGTTATAGTATATTACTTGGCTTGAGTGAAGAGTAATTATGTAGTAATACAATATAAACATTGATTAAAAGAGGTGAATAAAACAGGAAGAGAACTAAGTTCTTATCTACTATGCTAGAAAGTTCATAATAAAGTCTAAAATGGCAAGAAATAGCAGTTTACAAATATGAGTTAGAAAATAGACATAAATACCAAAGGGAATAGCTAGAAGAGCTAAGGGTGGTTGCCTCTAGGAAATGGGATTTAAGGGTGGGGGTGGTCAAGGCAAAAAATTATGAGAATTACCTAAATTTTGCAATCATGTAGATTTAGTCTAATAAATATAAAAGTGACACATTTTAAGATAAGGAATAAATGAAGGAAGCAGGAAGAGAGAAGGGTAGGAAAGGATAAACAGACAATCTCTGGCCCATACCTTCCCAAACACATTGGGATTGCTCACACAGCTGCATTTTCCCTTTAACCTGCTGAGCCACCTTCTGGGTCAAAAACAGCTGGCTTAGGCATTTCTGAAAACAAACACATAAAGGGAACACTTCTTTAGCAACATGTATGCGTATTTCAGATGCGACACGTGATATGGAATTAAAACTGATAATGCAATAGGATGTTCGAAGATCCCATATTACCAAAACCGACCCCACAATATTTGCTATTATTTATTATCTAAGAGCATTTACACATATATTATTTCTAATCTCCACAACAACTCCACAGGGCAGGTATTACTCAGCTAAAACAAAATACTTTTTTATTCTTCTAGCCTAAAAATCTTTTTAACCAGCAAACCAACCACAGGCCAGAGATATCATCAAAACCTGCAAGAACTGAAATGTCATGATATTTCTAGCACTTTCTGAAATTAAAAGATCTCCTCAAAATAATAAAGGTGAGCATTAGTAAGGTTAATTGAAGATTACTTTCAAGGGGTGACTTTCAGCGTTCAACGCAGAGATGTTCTCTCAGTCTGTCATTGAGAGTTTCTCTGGGCCTCAGTTTTCCTCATCTGTTATATGTTGGGATAGAACTAGTCATCTTAAAGGTCCTTTTCCATGAACTTTTTTTACCTCCAGAAACAGGAACATCACACACACATCACAGTGATCTTAAGAAACATGCCTAAATTTCCACATGAACATAAAATCTGACTGCTCTCTCTTTGGGCCAGGATAGAAAGAGCACATCTGACATCCTTCTATCCAATGTCAATCAAACACAGATGGGAAAATTAGTAATAAGAAAAAAGAAAAGTACTTACTGAAATTTTCTAAAAACATAATAGCAAATAGTTGAAGCATAGAAGAGTCTCTTTTTTCTCCTTTGCAACAATATATTTAATCTTATGGATCACTATAATTCAGGCGGAAGTCACTCTGATAGGCATCATTTTAATATTTTGATTTTCATCCTAGAAATTATGTCACTGAATAGGCATTGCCAGCAAATGAATCATGGATTTTTAGGTATTCAAAGTAGAGCAATTAAGTATAATGCAGGACTTTCCAATCTTGGCACTATTGGCCTTTGGCAGCAGATAATTCATTATTGTGGGAGCAGTTCTGTGCACTCCAGGATGTTTAGCAGCACCCTTAGCCTCTATCTAGCAGATGCCCTTTCCCTGGGTTGTGACTATCAAACGTGTCTTCAGACATTGACAAGTGTCCTCTGAGGAGCAGAATCACTCCCAGTTGAGGACGACTGATATAAAATAACAGCACCCCTAACTCCCTCAGTAGAACTCCTTAGCTATTCGCACACCCAAACCCTATCCAAGCAAAAAACCTGCTCTGATACATTTGTTTTCAATTTCATGTAAGTTCAAATAATTAAATTTTACATTCACAACATTTTATTGTTCCTCTAGCAAGATATACATGCCAAATATAGGAGGCACACACAAAATGAGTGACTTTGCCTCAATTGAGAATTTATTTACTAGTTCTAAGCTTTGATTCCTTCGTTGATGAAGGAATGAAACATTGATTCCTTCAAAGACTCTTCATTGGGTTTGATAAACCTGAAAATATGCTACTGATATTTAATGTGCCTAAAGGATTTAGGGCAGACTCCAAAGATCTTAAAACCATAATAAATAAGATACTTTAAAAAACTCAATTAACATGGCCAAGAAACAAAACAAAAATAACAAAGACTTACAAAATATTTAAAAGACCATCTTATAAAGAAAGAATAGACCTCCTCTTCAGAGACCCCAGAGGGCAGACCAAGCCACCACATAAATGGAAATAGCTGTACAACAGATCTTTTGGCTGAGAGGAAGCATATCATAATATGTATAATTTTATTATATTTTTAATCTTTACCTTTTTGATGGCTATTCTCATTTTCACTGTTTTTGATAGATACTAAACACTCTCTCATATATTTGTCAGATATTTTATTTCTTTTATGAACTACCTCTATTTAGGTCCTTCACTCATTTTTTTCTATCAGGAATCCATCAGGCTTTTATTGATTTGTAAGAGCAGCTAAGCCCGCTCTTTGCTCACATTTGGGACTCAGTTGTCTGAGTTTCTCAAGATGTGAGAGCGTCAGTTTTCTCTCTTTACCTACCAGGACTTTTGAGGCAACACTTGCCTTTGAGCCTCTGTCTAAAGCATGAGGTGCCTTGCAAAAATGGAGAGCAGAGTTATTTGTTTCAAAACTTCCTTTGATGGGGGTCTTCAGGGGTTCTTTGTAGGATCCTGCAAGAAAAACATTTAGCTTTGATTCTGTTTTTAAAACAAGGTAATCGCTTTGATTGGAGGTCATCCCATGACATCTTTCACAGTCAAACACAGTATGAAGATATGAAGACATAAGCCCTTATCTATCCAAAATCCTGGGACAGAAAGAGGGGCTGGGGGAGGGAGAGCCTGATCCAGAGTACTAGATGCTGCAGTGAACTCTGCCCCAGTGGCCTGGAGAGCCAGCTGGGAGGGAATGCCAAGTCTGAAGACCTGACCCCAACGACAGCAGCAGCAGAAATGCTTCATCTCTGCATGGGAAGAACATATTTGCATTTTTGAAGAATAGAAACAAACAGTTCAATAGTTTAAAATGACAGAGCAAGGAACTGATTTGCCCAGGCTATGATCATCCTGCCAGGAAATCACTGTGGAAAGATTGCTTTGCCAATCATAGACATTCAGCATGTGATCTCGAGCAAATGCCTTTGCCTCCTTCCTGTCACAGTAAGATGTTGTAAGGGTTGTTTGAGATGACACCAATTAGTTAAACTAATAGAGGGGTCAGGGTTACTTGCATCATTACTATTCATACCTATTCTCTTCACAAGATTGAGAAAACCCTCTATTAACTGGACTCTTTTAACAGGACTGAAAACCTTGTCAAGTCATCCTCTGAAAATAAATATCTGCTGTATCGCTTGTTCATCAGAGGAGCCAAGGAACCATTGGAAAATCTTAACCATTTGCCTTATGCCAATCCCTTCATCATTTGGACAAACGTGGGCTTGATAAACTGTCACTAATGTTCCTGAAGCCCAGAGCACCTTGAGTCCTGGGCTACCCAAAGTCTAACAAATACACGTTACATCAAGGAGGACGAGGAGTTGAAAACATGAAATGTTCTGCAGAGTTTTAGACCTTACTCATTGTCCTAAGACACTCGCATGCTTGTATTGTTGTGCTATTTGTCAAGGAGTAGAGAGAAGTCAGTTCTCGGAACCTCAAATAAGAAAGAAAAAGTTACAGTTGGAAGCTAGTACTGACAATCATTTCAGTCATCACCAGAGGTCAGGCCCACCAGACCAAGGAAGCAGGGGCCTCTCAGGTTTTGTCCACACAGCATGACTGTAAATGAACCTCTCTACATACATTCCTTTTAGGATGGAAGGATCTTCAATGTTTACCCTTCTGAAACAAAAAGGAACAACACCAGCAAAGCACTGAGAAACCAGTGTATGTGATCAATATGCGGTATTAACGTAAGTAGAGAATAAATACACTTTCTTGTAAAATCCTCTTACTGGTCATCTGTATCTTAGAATTCCAAATTTTCCATGTAATGCCTTATTTTTTAAAAATCAGTATGTCAATTTAGGGACTAGAGAGAAAAGGGAGATCCAGATTTTAATCAGAAAATCTTCTAAAACAAATCAGCATAAAAATCACCCCTCTGTTCTAATGGGATACAAAAGCTTTCTTTCAGAGGACAGCCTTAACAGTGACCTTTCCTATGTCTCTCCTACTGCTTCAGCCATCTCCTTTCAGTATCGATACTTACTGTTAAGGGGGAACCACATTGGTTTAAAAGTGATCTGGGCTCCCTTTCAACCTGCAGGACAACAGTGCCTTACTGTGTCTAATGTCATTTAGAAAATGATTGGCACTGCTGTTAACGTTTATCTTAAACATGCTGATAAGATCATGAATTATGTTGTCTAAGATTTTCAAAGGGAAGAACAAAAATTAAATCACTAGATGATAGATGACAAGTTTTTGTTTCTGAAAGATGGGAACATGAACAGCTGTGCCCAAGTGAGAACCACACAGTTTAGAAAGAGAGCTTGTGTTTCAGGATTCTGACAGGCTGATCCTGGATCCCTGCCCTTCAGATCAGGGCTCTGGTGCCGATTTCCCATCACTGCCCCAGGACAGGAATCAGACTGCCTCTCACTCTCATCCTTCCCCCTCACTTGCTTTCTTCTCTCCTCTCCCTCTCTCTATAGATATAGATAGATAGATGATAGATAGATAGATAGATAGATAGATAGATAGATAGATAGATAGATAGATAGATAGATAGATAGATAGATAGATAGATAGATAGATAGATATAGATAGATAGATAGATGATAGATAGATAGATAGATACCTATCTCTGTAACTCTCTCTCTTTTCTACCTTCTCCTTTTCCTTTCTTTTACTGTGTGTTCCTCTTATTCTCACCTACTTTCATTTATTTCTTCTATTTCACACCTGATTATTCCATTACTAATATATCTTTTTCCTAACTGCTATAGCCCAGGAAGCTTACCAGTCATTTAGCACTCTACTTTGCAAAAAGGGCATGCGTGCATGTGTGCGTGCACATACATACATACACAGTCATGCATACTTACAGTCTCTACAAAAAGAATCATCTACCAATGCAAATCCCAGAAATGTATTTAAAACACAATACATTTTCTTTTGTTTTTGTTTCATCCCCTGTCACCCTACCTTGGAAATTTCTTATTCAAAAGGAGAGAAAGAGGAAAGCAGACAACTAAATGCGGCACTAGATAGTTGTACAAGACAAAGATCCCATCAAAAAATGTATCTTTATTAACGTTTCAGAAACGGCCTGTAGCATTTCTGTTATCTCACCTAGAATCAAGGTTCCTTTCTCAGGCGTTACCTTCAGCATGGATCCAGAAGCTTCTGGGTCAGTGGTTGAATGCTCTTCCTCAAAGAAATGGGCTGCCAGATCCCTGGCTTGGCTTTGCCGCCATCTTGTGGTAACTGGGCTGCTGGCACCAGGAATCTCGGCAGACAGCCTCTTCACAAAGTTGCTTTTAAAGCTAGAGTATGTAGTATTAACTGCATCAAATATCTATTTAACAAAAAAAAGAGTTGTAATTTATAGTAGCTTCAAATTTATAGTAGCAAAAGTAAAAATTCCTTAAAAGAGAATTATAAACAACTTATCTGGTACAACACAAATAAAACATACATATCGGATTTTTTATTTTGGTGACCTAAGAAAATGTGTATATGTATATTAAGGGTCTCTAGACATAAAAAATCAGCTTAAGGAATAATTATGTTTATGGTTATTACTTTTACATATAAATACAAAATATTAAGTTGAAGTAACTCTATATACTGATCATGTAAGATGTTAATAAAAAATCATAAAATTTCAAATCAGCAATTTTCTAGTCCAACCCCTCATTTCACAGATGGGAAAACAGGCCTAACTTTCTCAACATCCACTCATCATCCCTATGAGAAACCATAAATGTTTTGTATTTACAGATCCTGTAATAGTGAGCCACGTCTTATAACTATGTGAAATTAAAATGCAAGTGAAGAATTTAAAATGAATTACTTTTACCAAAAGACAGGCATGTTAGGTTAATATCCTTGTCTAAAGAGCTCTTACAGAAATTTAGACAAGCTACCAAGTTTAGAAAAATGGGCATAGAACCTAAAAAAGCAATTCACAAAAGACATATATAAATAGCCCCAAAATATTCAGCCTCACTGGTAATCAAAGAAATGCACATTTAAAACAATAACAAGATGTTAGCTATGACATTTTTTTAATGACCATCCCCAGTGTTGAAGGTTCTAGAAATAAATACCAGCATATACTGCTGGTAGAGTGTAAATTAGTATCTAGAAAGGGCAATTTGGCAACGTATGTTAAAAACCTTTGAATATTTTCTCTACCGACACAGCAATGTCACCTCCAAAAATTTAAGGGAAAAAAATCAAAGATCTGAGCGAAGATGAACAAAACCATCCAGCATCTATTGAGTGCTTACCAAATGCGAGGTTATTTGTGCAGGCTTTTACATGCATCCGTATTTAATTCTCAGAAACACCTTATGAAGCAAGTCTGTTATTTATTCCCATTTTACTAATGAAGAAACTGAGGTTTGAAGGTTAAGTAAAATGCCTAAAACCGCCCAGTGAGTAAGTGGAGATGCTGTATCTTAATTTCATCTGCCTGCCTCCACAGTCTGCACTCTCAGCTGAGAACATGAGGGTGTTACTGCAGTTTGTATGCAAAAAGATGGGGTGAAGGAACTCCTTGTTTACCAATGGAGAATTAACTAAGTAAACTATGTCATAGTTAAAGGGGAATAGTCTGCAGCCATTAGAAATTATGACATACATTAGGGAAATGCCTAATGTCAGAAACACAATCAAGTACCACTTCACAGCCACCAGGATGGCTTTAATCAAAACTAAATAAATAAATAGCAAGTTTTGATGAGTATGTGGAGCAATTGGAGCCCTTGTACACTGCTTATGGGAATGGCACAGTTGCTATGGAAAACAATTTGGCAGTTCCTCAAAAAGTTAAACCGAGAATTATCGTATGACTTCGCAACTCCACTCATAGAGAACAAATACAAGTACATGGATGTTCACAGCAGCACTATTCACAATAGTCAGAAGGTACCAATAACCCAAATGTCCATCAACAAATAGATGAATATGCAGACTGTGGAGAATATATGTATGTGCATGTGTACATAGATATATTATACATAATACTATATAATGGGATATTACTCAGTCATAAAAAGGAATGAAGTACTGATAACATCGTACAATGTGGATAAACCTCAAACACACTATGCCAAGTGAAAGAAGCCAGACACAAAAGTCACATATTGTTTGATTCCATTTGTATGAGATACCCAGAGCAGGTAAATCCATGGATATGGAACATGGATGGGTGGGTGCCAGGTGTTGAGGGAAGTAGGAAATTCAGAGCAGCTGCTTGATAAGTACAGTTTTCTTTGGGGATAATTAAAAGATTGGGGAATTAAATGAAGGTGGGTGGTCGCACAACATTGTGAATGTACTAGATGTCACTGAATTGTTCACTTTAAAACGGTTAATTTTATGTTAAATGAATTTCACCTCAATTTAAAAAATCTGAAAAGAAAATGATAATATAGGATAATATTCACCAAAACATTACAATGCTTATAATATATTTTCACATAGAAAATGGAGATTATAAAACAGCATTCCAATACAGTCCCATTTCCTATCTACAAATGAAAGATAAGGAAATGTGCTATGCTAGAATGTTGAGGCAGTAAATTCTGGTTTTTTAACACATGTGTGTGAAGGTGAGTGCCCACCACCCCACCTGCAGTCACTCAGCAGGCAAGGCACACTCCCTCCTCCCTGCTGGTCAGTGTTTTCCTCCAGAAACTGCACCAAGAGGATACCTTCCCCAGAAATGGAGACTCCAGAAGCCTGAGGCCCCAGCTGCTGTAAACAGTTGTTGGAGGCCATGTTTTGCCTTTTAGTTGTACTACCTTGTACTGGGTGTTTGAGTAGGAAGGGAAAAGCTGAAAAGAAGGAAAGATAGAGCCTTGGGAATGTGAATCAGGCATCTCAAACTTGGAAGCCTAGACGAGGGTTCAGTAGGGAAGGTGACAAGAGATGCAGGCCTGGAGTGAGAAAGGTGGCCCACCTGAACTCTCCCCTTCCCACATTTTGGGTTCTCCCCTCCAAAGAAAACCACTGAGCAGGCTCAATGGCTAGGAGACCAGGTCCCAGACAGAGGGGGACTCGATGGTGGGATCTCTTGACCTGGAAAGCTCATGTTTCAGCCTTGGTAAGAAAGATGGTCAGAGGGGCATGTTGTCCCATGTTTTAGCACAAGTTAGAAATACAGAGTTTTCACATCAGTTTTTCCCACGTTTTAAAGTTTTCAACAGATTCCTTTTTTTATAGAACTCCATAGGACTAAGCAGAGCGTGTGGGCCACCTTTGGGCAGTGGGCTACATCTGCAGCCTGCACAGCGAGCTGAGGAGCCCTTCCTCTCCTAGGCAGCAGGAAGGGGAGCAGCCATATGTTTGAAGATATATTTAACTTGCAATAGACATGATAGATGCACTTGCTCAAAGTTTTCCTTGGAGTTCCAAATTTAAATATACATTTAAAAAATAATAATCCTTAGTTCAAAGAGAGAAAATAAAGAAGAATTTGATGATGTCAGATAAGAAAAATAATCAAGGAATTTCACATTGACAATCTCACCCTGCCTGAGCGGGTCCATGTTCCTCTGGCTTGTCTCCTGTCACTTCCTCCCTGCTGTGGCCCCACCTAGGATTCCCTTCCACAGCTCTCTGCCAGGGTAACATCCAGCCTACCCTCACGGCTGGGGTCAGCCACCAACTCCTTCAGGAATGGCTCTCTGACATTCTCTTCCTCCCCATTCTAAACTGGGTTAGCCATCCTGTGATTGGCTGAATAGTTGTGATGGTTAATTTTATATGTCAGTTTGACTGGGCTAAGGGATGCTCAGATGGCTGGTAAAATATTATTTCTGGATGAATTACACCAGCAGACCCCCAATTTTCAGGCCTTCGGACTGAAACTGAATTATGCCGCCAGCTTTTCTGGTTCTCCAGTTTACAATGGCAGACTTAGGACTTCCTGGCCTCAATAATCTCATGAGCCTCATATATGTATATGTATGTGTATATGTGTGTATATATATAATATATATATTATCATATATATATATATATCCTATTGATTCTGTTTCTCTAGGGAATCCTAATAAGTAATAGTCCCCTAAGATTTTGAGATCCTCATCCTTGGAGCCCGCAAATGTTACCTTATTTGGTAAAGGGGCTTTACAGATATGATCAAGATAAGGATCTTGAGTCTTGAGATAGGGGAGATTATCCTGGACTAACTGAGTGAGCCCCAAATGCAATCACATGTCCTTGTAGAGGGAGGCAGAGGGAGTTTTGATTACACACAGAAGAGAAGGCACTGCGATCACAGAGGCAGAGATTGGAGTGATGCATAAGCCAAGAAATGCTGCCTGTCACCAGAATCTAGAAAAGGCAGGGAATGGATTCTCCCATAAAGCCTGTGGATGAAGCAAGGCCCTGCCAACTCTTTTGCTTCTGTCCGAAGGAATTGACTGCAGCCTAGCCTCCATAACTGTAAGAAAATCAATAGTGTTGTTTCAAGCCACCAAGTTTGTGGTAATTTGCTATAATAATTTGTTAATAAGTCCTTGGAAACTAACACATAGCCCACCTTGTGCTTCCATAGCTCACTGTGTATGCTCCCAATAAAGCCGCTAGCACATCTATTAACAACATTTATCAAGCACTCAGTATGTGCCAAGCACTGGGATAAATGCATTAGATGGATTATTTAAATTTCATTGCAACTCTATGAAGCAGGTACTATTATTTCTACTGTTCTCCAGAGTTGGAAAATGAACCATTAAACTACAGGTTAATGGGCTTGAGCAAGGATATAGAGCTGATAAGTAGGGGGCCCAGGATCAGGTCACTGCATACAGTCTACATGCACCATTGTCTTTATGCAGGGCCCCCGGGGAGCATGCAGTGCACACCCCACACGCAACCACAGTAACCTTGCCAACTGAACTCACAAATCAGTCTGCTGCCTGTGCTTTTAGCACCTCTGCCCATTGTCTCCCCAACCAGGATTCATGTTGATATCCTAACTCCTTAAAGTGATGGTATCACTAGGTGGGGCCTTTAGTGGTGGGGGATAGTGGGCAGTGATGAGATCATGGAGGTGGAGTCCTCATGAATGGGATTAGTGCTGTTATAAGAGAATCCCACACTGCTCCCTAGCCCCTTCTGCCATGTGAGGACACACTGAGAAGTCTGCGGCCCAGAGAGGGTCCTCATCTGACCGTGCCAGCACCCTGATCTCAGACTTCTAGCCCCCAGAACTCTGAGAAATACATTTATGTTGTTTATAAGCTAATCACTCCATGGTATTTTGTTACAACAGCCCAAATGGACTAAGACAGCTCATACTCCACTTTTCTGATTATTTTTATTTCTCTCCTATTCAAT